TAAACCCTTGCACTTTTAACAACCTAAATTTCAAAAACGCATGTAATGATAGAAGTCAATCCAACACATTTTCAAGTTGCTTAGAGAAAATAAGAATTGCATGTAAAGCAACACAAAAAAGTATATAAAACATGCAAAGAAAATAAAAAGGTGAAAAGAAAATTACCCATTTGTAAAAAATTCAATCTCAAAGAGGTTATTGCAGAATTCCTAGTAAACAAGTAAGAAGATTTTGAAAGATTTAGGGTTTTCTTACAACTTTAGCATAAAAAAGTTTGTTTTGTCGATAGTTTTGTTTTGATGAATAGAAGATTTTTTTCAAAGTGTTATCTTAATAGCAGCCTCTGAATCCTTTGTTATGTATTCTGGGCTCATTCTCGGTAAAGCTAACTCATTCTTCCTCTTCTTACAAGAGCTGTTGCACTTGCATAAAGTGAGCAAAGACTTTTCTTTCAGTATTGGCATTGAATGCCATGCAAGAATTTGGCGAAATTGATTCCATGATTAGGTGTCACTCAGATGGTTGTTTTATAAGAACCCGGAAGAAGCCCATAAGCTGAAGATGTTAAGTAAATGGAAGATAGTGAAATTACCCCTCTTCAAAAGCTTTTTAGAGAAACTTGTCCTAGAAAAGCTTTTGGATAAGTTTTCTTCCCAAAATTATCCCGTAATTGTTTTATTTTACATTGCTTATGTGTGCTTTAAATAGTTGCTGAGGGATAACTTTTATATATGTTATAGATGTTAAGAGGTACTGCTGGGTGGTCGAATCATATCATGTTGGTTTCTTAAAACCATTGCCCAAGGTCCAGCAAGCCCAAGAAGCTCAAAAATTCAAAAAATATATATTAAAATATGAAAATAATTATTATTTTAATATTTTAAATATATTTTAGAATTTAAATTAAATAGAAAATGATTTTTTATTAATTAAATAGTATCTTGTGGACAGGTCTAGACATGTTAGATCTTTGGTTTTTATAAGTGTAACTTTTATATTAAATTTTATAATAAATTGGGATCATGCGAGAGTAATAATTTTCTAATTTTTATTGGAATTTAATTTTTTTAGAGTTTTTATATTTCATGTTTTCTAAGTTTGATAATGATTATTGAATTCAAATTTTTTATATTAGTAGATTTCTTGAGGTTTAAGTTGTTATGGACATATTAGTTTTGGATTTTATAGATGTAATTTTTATGGTAAGTTGGTATTGGATAAATTTTTATAAACAACAGTTCATAAAAATTTAATGATAACTAATGAATGAAAAAAGTTATTGTATCGATAAAAGATGGGTAAAAGTTAAAATATTGAATAGCAATATAAGTTGATGGATGCGACTATTTTTAACTTTAGGTGTTGAATGAAAAAATATTATGATGACTAAATGATAAAAAAATTAAATAATGTTACGACTTATGATTTAGTGTTGTTGGACCTGAAGTAATAAACACAACAACACATAAGTAATATATCGCAATAAACACACAGTAATAGATAACAATTAACAATGCAAGAAAAATAAAATACACTAAGATTTATGTGAAAAACCCTCCAGTGTAGAGAAAAAAACTATGGACCACTAAAAAAATCTCCACTATCAAATAATGGATATATAAAATTCTTCTCTAGCTAAAACTAGAGCTAATCAACAACTAGAAAAAGATAATTGGAGAAATTTCACCAAATAGGTGACTTAATAAATACACAATGGATTTGTTCCTATAGAGCTTCAAACTTGATCTTCACCATTCAAAATGTAGAACTCTGAATCATAAACCTGTTGATAAAATTTTAGCTCAATCGGACCGATTTTCGTTCAATGAACTCTCCATTTTCCCTTTTCTCTCTATTTTTTTAGCTTTTCTTCTTTCTTTTATTGGTTTTTGACATTGCCTTCAAACAGTCTTAACTTTTTTTATTAAGTAGCTAAGGCTCTGTATAAAAGGAAAGATCAGGGCCTATGGTTTCTAATTAGTCCAAGCCTAATTACGTGGGGTTGTACCTCATTTTCCTAACAAGTGTAGATAATAGTTACTAGACTAATATTTTATTATATTTTCATAGCTTTTTATATGAATGATGAATATTAACATAATTTAAATAAATTAAATTTGATATTCCATCATAATTTTTTTACATAAATATAATTTATAATATTTATATACTAAAATATTAAATGCATTTTGATTTAAAATATAAATGATAATTAATTGTATTATGATTCTTAATTTTATATCTTTATAATTTATTGATGTAAAAGAAATTGACCCGTGCAAAGAAGAGCTAGTATAATATATATAATATTGATATTTAGTAACAGCCTAAAAGCAAAAATGCTATAAATGAAAGCAAAAAAATGTTGCTAACCAATGCTTAAAAAGCAAAATTATAAATTATTATATAAAAGAATATTTTGACCAAGATAATAAAATCATTCCATTAACTATCAACTATATTTAATACAAAAATGTTACTCATAATAAAATCTGAAAAAATATTTTTAAAATAGAAAAAATTAACACCATTATTTAAAAATAATAAAAGTTTTTATTCTTAAATTTAAAAATGGTAAATGCATTATTAATTAAATTTATGATTGAAATTTAATAATTTTAAATTAAATATAAAAAGAATTAAAATAAAACAAATAATTAAAATTTAATTAAAAATACATGTAATATTCTTAAATAAAATAGTTTAAACTTTTATTTCTTAGAGAATCTTTTCTCTTTTAAAACGTTCATTTACAAAATTCTACAAAATGAGAAGACAGTAACTTTGCAGATCCCGAGAAAAGGTATAAGTAGACAAAAATATTAAACGCAAATGAAAGAATTATTCAAATTTATTATGTCTACCGAATGAAATCCATCAACGTATAAATGCAACGTGAAAACAAAAAAAATAGGACGTAACCTCATGCAAACCTTTTAAAAAAGCATTTTTTTTCTTTTTATTTACTTTTACCAACAACCTTCCTTATTTATTATTTTATTTTATTTTTATTTCTTGCGGGCACCTCCTCTTTTTGTCGATGCATCAATTTTAGTGCCACACAGAAAAATGCCCGGATCGGTTCGAGGTTGAACCACGTGTTTTTTATTTTGGCCTTTGGTTGAACCACGTGTTCAGGCCATGCGGACCACAACTACCATGTGTTGTTTTAACTCCCAAAACATGTTTTGTGGCAAGTGAGATGCAAGATTACTATAATACCATTGATATCATTTATTATACTTTTGTATAATTTCCTTTAAACTGTCAAAAATTTTGCGATCATTTTTACCCTGCACTCCAATTTACTAACCGTGGTTTTAATTCCTCACGTGAAAGCATCCCAAAATCTGAGTTTTTACTGTCTGCCTTTTTTACCTCAAATTTACTTTAAATATAAATAGACTTACATCAGTAAAAATTAAAGACAAGGTCAAAGAAATTTCATGCATGTAAAAAAATTAATTGATTCCATATTTGACAGAAAATTAAGACACCTATTTTAAGTAAAAATAATTACAGTTGTAAACCGTGCCAAATTGTCATGCTTTCCTAATGAGAATTTTATTCCCAAAGATGCAAACTTCTTTCTCAAATTTATAGCTGTCTTATATTATTTTCGGTTTTAGAATTTTTTTTTATTTTGAAATTATTGAGAATTAAATTTTAATTATTAAAATTAAAATTTTAATATTTTTAAATTAAAACTTAATATAAATAATTCATCTATTTCTTTTAAAAAATGAGTTTATACAAAATCAAAATTTGATTATGAATACTTATAAATTCATCTATCTTAATTATCTTTAAATTCTGATCTCTTTCATATTAAAAATTTAATATTCTAACAACAAATCACATAATTATTTACATAATTTTAAAACTTTCTTTGTTAAAAAAAATTGATAATTTTTCAAGTTAGGTAATTCTTAAATCTTTTATGAATATTTATAAGAAAGCTATTAATATTAACAAAATGTTAATTTTTAATTCATATATAGTTTACGGATGATAACTAAATGTTAAAAGTTTCATAAATGAAAATTGGGACCACTCTAGGACTGTAAATTGATGCCTCCTACTCAAGCAAAGGCAAGGTTCTGATATGAATTAAAGTGAAATTAAAAAACCAAAGAAATACAATAGCGCTATTTAGGAGTGCGCACTTTAAAAACACCAAAAAGGGGTGCCCAAAGTTGTTTTATATTTATATAATATAAATTATGGTCTATCTGTGCTATGTCTCTTTTCTTCCCCTTTTTTTTTTCTTTTCTCTCTCTTCTGCCATCTCCCCTGGTTTTACCGTTGAAAACTGACTGGTTTTCTCCGGCATTGACTAGGCTCTGGAGCCAAAGCTGACCCTGCAACAAATCGGTGAGATGAGCCAAACATCAATATTTTTTTTTCTCAACATAGATTTACTGTTTTCACTTCATGCACATTGGTGTAAACTCAAGTCAGCTGTTACATTTTATTTTTCTATATATCAACAAGAAGAATCTTTAAAGATATTGCAGTATCTTTTTGTTAACAAATCTAGCCCATTTAATACGGATTTAATTCAGTCAATATTTTTTGGGATACAATTATGTTGTTTACAACAATTAAATTACCTGACTTTTCTGCTTCGTTTCGTTTCCATTTTTATTCATGCTTTCCATGTTTTCCAGGATTGAAATGGTATAATGACGTACCTTTTAGTTGTTGAACAACACATGGGGAATGGCTTTTTTGAGCATTTATATCTCAGATGCTGATTTGCTGTACTGGTTTTCTACCTGAGAATTTATCTTTGTTTTTTCTTTTCCTTCACGTCTTTCTGCGTAATGATGTTGAGTGTGTTTGGTGGAGATTGGGTGATTTGGCAGAATGGTATGAAGCAATGGGGTAGGAGATAGTTCAATTTATTCGGATTTTGGTGATTTCCTGGACATTTTCAGGAATTGAAGCTTCTTTGAGAGAAGATATCTGTTGTAAGAACAGAAAAAGTGGAAGAAAGAGCAGGACTGGTTGCTGGTTTTGCATGAATTCCAGGATGAATTTTGGAGAGGAATTTTCAATTCCATCAGGAAAAGAATTTCCGTTTACAGGTTCTTGGATGCCAGTAACTCCACAAAAGTCCATCCCAACGGTATCAAATCCCATCCAGGTGAACGGGCAAGGGAACCAATCTGAAAGAGGAAATTGGCAAGAATTGGCTGGATTTTGTGCCGGATACGAACAAGACATCCTGAATATCAATGGACCTGCACAGAATTTCAACCCAGTTGAACAAATGGGTCAGAGTGGGCAGGAATTGGCTGGATTTCATGCTGGATTTGTACAAGATATTCTGAATATCAATGGACCTGCACAGAATTTCAACCCAGTTGAACAAATGGGTCAGAGTGCAGGGCATTATTTTGGAAGTATAAATTTACCAGGGAAGAACAGAATGATCGACAACATTGCAGGTTCCAGCAGACATGTTCTTTACAATGAAAGCACAAGATGGAACAATTATTCATTGGAAAATCTTCTGGAAACCGGAAACAATGCTGCTTTTGCCTCTGCAAACAGAGTTGCAAGCATAACCAGCGCAAATACTGTGCTGTTTCCAAATTTGCATTCCCAAAAAGACAACTGGAGACACTCCATCCCACACAACTCAATGTACTCCAACCAAACTCATTCCACAAATTTGCACTTCTTGAGAAATAACGACAGCTTCCTCCAGATGGCCGAATGTAAGTGATTAAATCTGTTGAACAAAATTTTATGCAACTAAGATTTCATTTGAATCTCTTATTTTCCTGCAACAAATATATTAACAAAGAAATTTAGAAGCCATGGCAATTGATGTCGCTGTACTTTGACTATAGTAGTTTGCACGTAACAAATTATTTATGATTATCGTGCATAGAATAGCTTTCTTCATGATTTTGTTGAGAAAATAGGAATTTGGATTGTTTGCATGCGAAAGTGATTCTTACAGATATTCATTATTTATGTAGTTAATAGGATTTAGCAATTTTATGAACTAGTCAGTCTGTTATAATGCCATGAAAACACCCGTCATGATAGCTTAAGTTCAAGCAGATTGAACTATGCTCATAATTAATGAATATGTTTATTGAGAGTACCTTTTTACAGATGGATTTCCCGTACCTTGCAAACCAATGTCCAATATGAACTCACCAGCAAGGACAGAAGTTGATGCAGCCTCCCATATCGCCACCTCATTCCCATCCATGCCAGCAGCACCAGATCAAACCAAGAAGATGGAGGACAAGCAGATTTCCCCAGTACCAACTTCTGCAGGAGATGAAAGCTTAATTCATGAAAAGGAAAAGCAGGAAATTTTAATTGCATCCAATGGAAATGAAGTTTCTCAACAGAATTGTGAACTCTTACAGAACATTGTCGATTCATCATCTGCTGTCATTTCCACAACAATAGAGGGAAAAAAGGACTCTGAAAGGGGAAGTGACCAGGGCATAGATCTGAACAAGACACCCCAGCAAAAACCACCTAAACAAAGAAAACACAGGCCCAAGGTAATTGTAGAAGGCAACAAAAGGAATCCAAAGTCGGCCATTACAAAAACTATTAACTCCAAGGACAACCCAAGTGGGAAAAGGAAGTATGTACGCAGGAAAGGCCTGATAGAATCAGCAACAGAACACACAGATTCAACTAAGGAGTCTGACCCGAGTGCTGGAACTCCAGCAAAGAGGAAGTATGTACGCAGGAAAAGCCTGAAAGAATCAGCAAATGAACAGATTGATTCTATGAAAGAATCTGGTCATAGTGCTGGAATAACTGTAAAGGGGGAGTACATACACAACAAAAAACAGATAGAATCAATGACTGAGCAAGCAGATTGTACAAGGGGCTCTGATCCTAGTGCTGGAACAGCTGGAAAAAGGAAGTATGAAAGCAACAGAGGCCTGAAAGCATCAGCAACTCAACAAGTAGATTGCATGAAGGAGACTGATTCTAGTGCTGAGCCTGCTCCAAAATCCTGCAGAAGAGTATTGAATTTTGACTTGGAAAATACTGGCAATGAAGTCCAAGCTGAAATACTTAAGCACCTGAAGATGTTAGAAGGAGGTAAGTCCTCTGAATCTCAAGCCACGGGATTGCAGAATGTAGAAAATAGTGGGTTTCAAATAAAATTGACCACACAGACCAGTCAACAGACTGGATTGGCTTTGGAAAACAAACAACCACAAGCTGAAAGTAGCTATGCTCCCTTCCTGAATAAAATGATGCCAATTGGTTACATATCAACGCAAGGTGTCAGAGCTGCTACAGCCTCACGACTTCAAGCAAAGGACCTGATGGAAAATCTAAATGTCATTGCAAGGAATAAAAACATGGACAATGCTGATTTGAGCCAAAAGATCTACAGAAATGGATACACTTCAACACAGCGAACTATTCAATCTGTTTCACAAGGAAAAAACATTTGGGAAAATACTAATGGGACCAAGGAACTAATGTTTGAAAGATCCCCTCAATCAGTACCAACAGTTTTGTCTAACTCTAATGAAGGTAGGGGATCCAAGAGAGATCATTGTCACACCATTGAGTACGGACAATTTTGCACTGCAAGTTCAATAAGTTCCTTGTTACCCCAAGGAATGTTCCAGAAGGATGAAGGTTATAGAAATGGCAGCGTTAATGGGGCGACTTTTCAACAGGCTCCCAAAAGAAAGACAATAGAGGATGAATCCTGTGGATGCATTTATGACATGAAGTATGCGATGTCACATGGTTCAGGACTTTACACAAAAGGCACAAACAGTGTTAATGCAAAACAATTTACGTCACTGAGGGATTGTGGGACATCTGACCCTCATTTTCAAAGTGATAACATAGCCAGGAAGAAAAGTGGAGGGGTTTGCAAACTCACTGGGGACAGCAGGAATGTTCACTCTAAAGCTGCTGACCTAACTTATTCAAAGCAACATATTTCATCCCAACTGCATTCAGGCATGGAAAAAATAGGAAACACCAACAGGTTGACTCTAGTCCATAACTTAGCCACACTCGAGAATTGCAACCATCTTCTACCAACTACCCCTGAGAAGACTCCTATACTGCAATTTGGGTTGGTTGGAAAAACATCCCATGCCAATGTTTCAGAAAAGAAGAAAAGAGGGACTGGTCTATCCAGAAGAGTTCCGCCCAGAAGAGGAAAGATGCTGCAAGAACATTATGAGTACCAGCAGTCCACTAAAGCAAGAGGTACTAAGAAACCTTTATCCTTTCGTCAATTGCAGTCCTTAACAACTCAGTCTACAAAAATTTTCATAAAGTGTTCTACTCACCATCATTATGTCAACTCTTCTTGGTAAATAATGCAGGGCCATCAGCAAAACAGGCATACCTCATTCTCATTGAGGAGATAATAAATAAATTCAAGGGTCTCACTCTTGATGAAAGGAACAGCAAAGCCAAGGCAGAAGTGCAGAATGCACTTGTTGTATACAAAGGAGCTGGAACAGTGGTCCCGTATGAGGGGTTTGAGTTTATCAAGAAAAGAAAGTCACGACCTAAAGTAGACCTTGATCCAGAGACAAATAGGATATGGAATTTGTTGATGGGAAAGGAGGGAGAAGATGTCGAAGGGGCAGATAAGGAGAAGGAAAAATGGTGGGAAGAAGAAAGGAGAGTTTTTCATGGCAGAGTTGATTCATTCATAGCACGAATGCATCTTGTACAAGGTACAGCTTGTTACACGTTTGGTTGCTATATTCTGATCAGTACAAGGATTCCTGAATCTGCTTTGTAGATTAACATGACACCTTGGAGCTTCAAATCATATAATTACATAGTTCTAGATGAAGTGGTAGATCACAACCATTGAGTGTGTTTTTTTGGATAATTGGGGGGAGGGGGAGGGGATAGAGGGTTGCATGATAAAAAAACACTGGTGTCCATGTATACAGCATTAACATGAATCAAAAGAGACACTACCTAGCATAAACAACAAAACATCACAGCCTGAAAAAAAATGACATGATAAATAAATATTACCAGCCATATTCACCACAAATTGCCAAGCTAGCATCATATTCCCTTCTGTAGAACTAGTGCAACAAGACAAGTCCCTATAGTTGACACTAAGTAGGAGCTGGAAAGGAATGCATATAAAATGTGTTTTTCTTTCTCTGAGTACTATTACTCTGAAAATTGCAGTTAACTCAAACAAGATAGGAACTTCAAATAATTGATCTTGACTGCCACAGAAAATTATACATTTCTATAACAGGTTCACAGTAAAATTTTGTCTGGCTATTTACCAAAGTTCCTACATGAGCAATTTTGGAATTTTTAGTACCTTTTTGTGCAGCTCATGTATAACAAATTGTATCAATCAAAATTACCTGAATTGTCAGTGTATGCTCTTCACTTGAGTATTGTAGATGTCTGCATGTATGCTGACCAAAGATTTCGTAAAACCATGCAGGAGATAGGCGCTTCTCACAATGGAAAGGATCTGTGGTGGATTCTGTGATAGGAGTCTTCCTAACCCAAAATGTTTCAGATCACCTTTCAAGGTAAATTAGTTTTATTACATACTGAGATCAAGTTTCCAAAATATGAAAACCTGCAGTACAAATGCACATTCTCCTACTTTCCTTTGTGCAGTTCTGCCTTTATGTCTCTAGCAGCAAAATTTCCTTTGAAGTCATCATGCAAGAGAGACTGTGATGGAGATGGGGCAAAAACACTAATTGAAGAACCAGAAATCTATGAACCAAATCCAAATGAAACCTTCAAATGGCATGAAAATCTATTTAGTCATCCACTTGACAGCCAATGCTCTATGACACCTAACAGGTCAACAGATTATCAAAGGAACAGTGACAATTCAGGTATAGAAAGAACAAGCTTCATGGAAGCATATAGTCAGAGCTTAGAGGAAGAAGTGCTATCATCACAAGGTTCTTTTGATTCCTTGGTCATTCAAGCAATTGGAGGAATCAGATCCTACTCAGGCTCCAACTCAGAAACAGAAGATCCTACTACAGGCTGCAAATTCAACAACATTCATGGTTCAACTCTTGACCAGAAAGAGAACAGTGCCTCATTTGAGGAATTTTTCAATTATGTAAGTGGGACCCCACTGTTTCATGGAGGATCAACATATAAACAGTCAGAAGTTACAGAAAATGGACAGAAGTCAAAATTGGAAAGAAAGGAAAATGTCAAACGGCCTTCCTCATTCAATCAAGGTAGCCATTTTAGAAGTCAAGAAGTGCAGTTAGAAGCATTTGGAGTAAGTAACCATTCGCTGTACCGGACTTTGGAGTCTGAAGCGCAAGAACTAGACGGTCTTGAACCTTTTGGTGAAGAATGCATGTCTTCCTGGGCTTCAACTGCTTCTGGATTCAACAAGCCAAAACAACTAGGACAAAGTGGAGGTAACATCATGGTCCAATACAATGCACAACCTATAACTCAAGATATGGCCACAACAGCCTTGAATGCTTCATCAAGCGAGCACATAATGCACCAACAAGAAGTCTCTTGGCCAGGATATTGTACTAAAAGTAATCAGCTTTGCAACAACCATCAAGAAAAGAGGAATAAGGCCTTCCAATCAGAAAGCACATCAGTCATAATGCCTCTAACCGCTGATGCAGTCAGTAAGATGCAGAAAAGTACCTCAATGTCTACTGCAAATGCCCTTAAACTCACAGAAAGACCTTCTAATGTTGAGAGAATATCTGTATTGAATAAGGACAAAGATATAGAGGACAGAGAGGTTCAATCAGATGCAAAGGAGCCAGTGCATTCTTCTGGAAAAGAGCATGGAGAAAATAGCATCTTAAAGCCTAAAAGAAGAAAGGCTCAAGGAGAGAAAAATCATACAACTGACTGGGATGGGTTAAGAAAACAGGCGGAGGCCAATGGTTGGAAAAAAGAAAGAAGCAAAGATACCATGGATTCCCTGGATTACGAGGCAATGAGGAATGCTAATGTAAATGAGATTTCTAATGCAATCAAAGAAAGAGGGATGAACAACATGTTAGCAGAAAGAATCAAGGCATGTCTAATGAATTCAATTTCTAGGGAATTGATCTTAGCTAGGAGCTGTTTCAGAGCAGTATTTATTATGAAACCTTTGCAGCAAATTTAAAAGTACTTGAAAAAATCTGCAGGAATTCTTGAACAGACTGGTTGGAGACCATGAAAGCATTGATCTGGAATGGTTGAGATATGTTCCCCCTGATAAAGCAAAGTAAGCCATCTAAAATTTCACTGTTCATTATTTGATTACAGTTATTCTATTCATAAATAACAAGACTATTCATGGCATCAGCTGATCCAGACTGAAATATTAACTGATTCCAGCACCTAAGAAGTTTATATTTATGGCATCATAAAATTATTTATGCTGCAGGGATTATCTTTTAAGTATACGGGGATTGGGCCTTAAAAGTGTGGAGTGTGTGCGGCTTTTAACCCTTCACCATCTTGCTTTTCCGGTAAGACTCGATTAAAATTTACCTAAAATTCTAGTTTGAAAAGACGAACAAAATTGTTCATCCAATGTGTAACATTTACATTTTATGAAGGTTGACACAAATGTTGGACGAATAGCGGTTAGACTGGGATGGGTTCCTCTCCAACCACTGCCTGAGTCACTACAGTTGCACCTCCTAGAATTGTAAGTATTAGACAATTAACAAGTCAATCTCATCTTTCTCTCGTGGCCCTGTTGCTCACAGATGCTAATAAAGTTCCTCTTAGGTACCCGGTTCTGGATTCAATTCAGAAATACCTCTGGCCAAGATTATGCAAACTTGATCAACTAACATTGTAACTTCATAACCCCTCTTTACATACATGCATATTCATAGAAAAACTTTTACTGATTTATGCACTATTGGCACAGGTATGAACTACATTATCAAATGATTACATTTGGAAAGGTATTTCATTAGGTTCATTTTTACATCAATGCTTCCCAAATTAGAATCATATTTTGTAGTAAGGCCTATAAAAAGCATTGATAGCTTATGCGTTAGCATGCTGTGTAGGTTTTCTGCACAAAGAGCAAACCGAATTGCAATGCATGTCCAATGAGAGGAGAGTGCAGGCACTTTGCAAGTGCTTTTGCAAGGTTAGTCCCAGCCTAGTTCCATCTTGTGTTTATAATGTCAAAATAATTCATGCAGGTAGAATTAGGCACTATCATTAGCATGCATCTAATTTTCCAGACACAGGATTCAAAATCAGAATCCAAGTCTTTATACGTTTCCTTGATCGGTTACTGCTTAATAATCATCTATTGCTGATGTAGTTTTGTTGTCAAGCCACTGGCTTCAACTTCTATTAGCATCCAACAATTACCTTTGTTACATAAGGCAGTAAAGGTTTTATAGCATCCAAGTAAAATAAACACTGTACACAAGATGACATGTAAACAATCGATGCAACTGACATCTACTAAGATCTAAAATCTCCTGGATACTTGACATAGCCATGAATTGTGTCAGGCATCCCCATTCATGGGGAAAATATTACTTGTATCCAAAACATAAGGGGAGTCCAAGATAATTAACTATAAAGCAGATAGGACTTGTCGCAAACCTCTCAGATACCCAATAGAGTAGATGCTTCTTTCCCATATATTCAAATGGGCATTCACACCAGGGCAGGAAACCCATGTCAACAAAAAAAAAAAACACAAAGTGAGGTGCCAACAAGCTTTAAAGGAATAGAGTTTAAAAAAATTAATGTGTCAATAGTTTCAGAACTTTGTAAAATGCAATGCATTCACCTTCAGACCACATTTGAGACCCAAAATACCAAATTCACATTTGAAAATGCTTATCTAAAAATTCAAATGCGCATTAGGCGAGTTTGAATAAGAATATAGTTGATAGTGCAACCTGTCATCTTGACTGTTAAAGAAAGAACAAAGGGGACAACTTTTAAAAAGACTGGAAAGAAAGAAGACAACTTGAGAGAATTAGATTGATGATAAAAGTGAAAACAGAAAGAAAGATAGATGCACTTAAAACCACCTACCTTGGCTTTCAAAGAGGTAAACTGCATGTTTCACATGTGTCAACTTTCTTTCATGCAGTGCAAGGCTTGCACTGCCAGGGCCTGAAGAGAAGAGCGTAACAATTTCAACTGTTCCAATGATGTCTGAGAGAAACCCTGTCAGAGTTGTCAATCAAATGTCATTACCTCCACCAGAGCAGAACTTGCTTAAAGTAGGGTCTAACAATGGCAACTGTGAACCTATCATTGAAGAACCAGCGACACCAGAACCAGAGCAAAAAGAAGAATCACAAAGTGACATCGAAGATGCATATTATGAGGATCCTGATGAAATTCCCACAATAAAACTCAATATTGAAGAGTTCACAGCAAACCTCCAGCATTACATGCAGGCAAAGATGGAACTCCAGGAAGGAGACTTATCAAAGGCTTTAGTAGCTTTAAATCCTGAAGCTGCTTCTATCCCCACTCCCAAATTGAAGAATGTGAGCAGGCTACGGACAGAGCACTATGTGTAAGTGGATATTTTCCCAATCATGATGTAACCAAGTACCAAACCTATGATCATGAAAAAAACCTGTTAATATAATGATCAGAAAGGGCTAAATTATGGAATAACAACAGGTCATTAAAGCCATATCAGCCCAACCAATGCATAAGAAAAATCCACTTAAGATAAATTGATTAAACTTTGGCAATTGCTTTAAAAAAAAAAAAAAGAAAACTTGCTGATAAAGAGGTCAAAATGACTAGCCCAAGAGAATTTTGATACCAACTAATCCGTAAACACTATGAGCTTCCAGATACCCATCCTAATACATAGCTCCAATGATGCAGATATGAGCTTCCAGATACGCATCCAATCTTGAAACAGGTAAGTTATTCTTAGTTTCTTCAAAATTTTCGGAGTTCTATGCATTATCTATGTCTCTAACTTCCAACTTTACAATATTTATAGATGGAAAGGCGTGAACCTGATGACCCTAGCCCCTATCTTCTTGCTATATGGACACCGGGTAAGAACAAAACCTCGGTAATGTCAATCTATATTAAGCAGGCTCAGAGGTTCACAAAACAGCACCTCATGCCATTTATATATACTTCTGAAAATAGGATACAATGTTAAGATCACACCATAGGTATGCAGGTTTGTTAATAGGATATGTCATCAAAGTCAGAATTCAAAGTTCACATTGGCGACTGCTAGTGGAAAAAGATATTGTTTGCTCTACTACAAACTAATTAGATGAGCTTCTATAAACATGCATTTAATAGGTGAAACTGCAAATTCAATTCAACCACCAGAACAAAGTTGTGGGTCCCAAGAACCAGGAAGATTGTGCAATGAGAAGACTTGCTTTGTTTGCAGTAGTGTAAGAGAAGCTAATTCACAGACAGTACGAGGAACCATCTTGGTGAGCAAGATTTACTAATACATAAATATTACGGAAGCACAAAATGCATATACCTCCTAGATTCTTCACTAATATTTACATCGCAATGTGTACAGATACCTTGTAGAACTGCAATGAGAGGAAGCTTTCCCTTAAATGGGACATATTTTCAAGTTAATGAGGTAATTTTATTCAAGCTATTGCCAACTCTAATTCTTAGAAGACTCAGAAGAAGGGGGATCCAGTGGGAGCTGGGAAACCAGAACCCTACCCTAGACAAGATATGGATTATACTTCAACATTCAAAGAATGACGCTCTATTGATTCCTACACCGCCCAGCATGTATAACTTTATTTGATTATTAGATGCTTATAAAATGAAGTTTACCACACAGGTCTTTGCAGATCATGAATCAAGCCTCAACCCGGTGGATGTTCTAAGGGAATGGATATGGAATTTACCTAGACGAACTGTATACTTTGGAACATCTGTATCAACAATATTCAAAGGTAAGAAATTACCCACCAAGCTTTTGAACTTTAAAATTGCTGCCCTGGTTTAGTAATAAAGGAAAAAGGTTACTTACAAAACTAATCCATGTCTACCAGGACTTTCAACTGAGGGAATTCAGTACTGCTTTTGGAAAGGTATGAAATGTTACTTTTAGTTCTTTAATTACCTACATTGCCAAAAACAGCTTCTTATTAGGTACACATATATAGAAATGGGCCAAAAACTGCTACTTTATTTATAACACATTAGTTTCAGCATTCCTATCAATCAAACGATAAGTTCATATACACTAACCAATGGTTTCCTACTAGAAACCCAGGTTTTCTCTCTTTTCTTTTTTCAACATTTTGATCACAGAAAAAAAAAATGCATTGGGTAGAAATGCAGCCAACCAATGAATTATTTTGATGATAAAAAGAAAAAACAGAAGTGCCACCATGGTGGTTGATACATGAAGGTACCCTTTTTGGACTAGGGACTCATAATGAACCATTCATGCATTCAGAGCTGGAAAGTTAAAGGAGAACACTGGATAAGAAAAGGTGATCTAAAAACTGCTGATAAAAGCTCAGACATCTTACTTGCTGCTATTTTAGCTAAAGGAAAGAACATAGAAAGGAAACGAAGATTATAAAATTATGGTAAAGAATGAGAAAAAGAATGAAATACTACGTTTTAATCCCAAAGTAACTTGCACATGGAGAGATCTTGGTTTAAGGATTGTGCAAATTAAAGAGAAATTTAGTAATGAGAAGGTTTACAATTAAAAAAAATTGCTTTGCACCTGATAGAGATATGAGCTAAAGCCAGTAAGCAGACAGAAGTAAACATCATCAGTCACTCCTAATTTAAACTTCAATTTATTTTGCAGTAAAGAAAAATGTCAAACAAAAGTAATTTTACTGTTCAAACAAATATTACAAGAGGGTCACTTTTGAATAATCATAAGCAAGTAGAGATGGTAAAGCTAAGTGTGGTTAGAGCCCAAGTAAATCATATATACTATTTAACAGCACCAGTATGCACGTTCTATCTCTCACCCTCCAAAGAAAGAAAAAAGGACCTATTACCCAACACAGTGGTTGCAGATCTGTCTCTCTCTTCCCAATTTCACTTTGCATCTTTTTCCTTATTTTCCAACTCTTTCATTTACTTGCCTCTCACTCCCCTTGCCATTAATTGGCTTCTCACTAGGTGCATCATATCCAAAGACACCAGGGTCTAAAAGACAGTGTGACACCCTGCCTAGTGTTTTGGAAGGCAAGAGTTACCACTCCTATCCATGGGGTCACATATTGTAGTCATGTCTATCTGATGCTAAAGGGTACTTTTAGAGAGAGGAACGTTGTTAAGAAAGTAGAATGTTCATAATTGCAATACTAAAGATAGACAATCACTAATTATTCAGGGTTCCCTGGTTCATATACAAGTTGTAAATGACTTAATGCATAGATTTTTAGCCACATTGTTGAGTCTGACATTCAAGTCCCGACTCATTCATCATCCACATTTTAGGGCTTGCAATTTGCATATCTTCATCAAAGTTTGAAAACTTGTTAGAACTTGACTATGGCTATAAGGGTTTCAAGAGATGTAAGCCAATCTCTTAAACATTTTGACACTCATGTGGTTTGGCTTTCACTATTTTCAACTCATTGAATAAAACACCAGTTGCAAAAATTATGTACTTATGAATGATATTTATTTGACCATATATTAAAGCTACAGAAACTCAATATATACTAGTCATGATTTAATAATCCATTCTAAATAGTTTACTATTAGTTGCTAGCTGTTGAAAATCACCATTGTACCGATGGTTGCACTTTAGTCATGTCCAGTCATATAAAACTTACTTAAATTGGCTGTTTTCTTCTATAACATGAAAAATTCCTTAAGGTGCAGTATATTTCTCATTTTGAATCACTTAAGTCCTGCTGCCTAGATGTTAAACATCATTTCCTGATATTAGAAGAACAGCTATCATAAGACATCACTAATTCAAAGTCCCTTTAGGAAACATTGCAATTAATATGTCAATGAATTTCAGTTGAACCACATTTCACTCTTTTAAGAACTAGTAATGATCATGCATGTATTAAAGATTTATCATGCTTTGACCCATGCTTCTTTAACTGACTGTCTAAAATTATTTGCAGGATTTGTTTGTGTGAGGGGATTTGACCAAAAAACACGAGCACCCCGACCTCTTATGGCCAGGTTGCACTTTCCAGCAAGTAAGCTGGCCAAGACAAAAACTGAAAACAAGAGATAAACCGGGCACAACAGAAAGATGATTGTTACCAAAAGGTACCAACCAGCATGAATCCATAAAGGAAACTAAAATATGCCAACCAGCATCTGTCCATAAAGGAAACGAAAATTTGGTGATGTAGCACAGAAGGAAAATTTTTACTAACACATTGTTGTACACTATTGTTCTTTGTCTAACATGAGATCCATTCATCCTATGTTGCATGAAGAAATTTTTTTTAATGAAATTTTAAATCCCATGGCAAGTGGGATGCAATCTGTCAATTGATCAAAACCGTGATGATTATTTGAATTCATGCTCCGAAGAGAGCCATTCTTCAATAAATAGTCAGAAAAAATTTCCCCTACTCATGCTCCAATATGTAATATACAAGAGCATTACATATGCACACACATGCAGTTACATATATATCATAGAGTTAGCCTAAGTGAATGTGTCTGTGCGTAACCACAAAGCTAATTAACCCAAAAAAGTCTACCCAAATTGTTGGCAATTAGGTTCCTTGAGTCTACAAACATATCCAACTAGAGTTCCTCATTCCACATCCAATAGGGGACTGAAACCAGGCCATGATTATAAAAAGGAGCAGAGAGAGAAAAAGGATTCCAGGGGGGAACACTGATTAGTACTATTAGATGTTTGGAAGTTATAAGAAGAATGTTGCAAGAAATAAGATTACAATTATGAAATTCTGTTCGCTGAAAATGTTCTAGAGATTGAGATGAGACACAGAATCCTCTAAGAAATGGCATTAAAGGTTTTAGACACCTAGACTTTATACATGCTAAGGAAGTCATGACATTACGTATTTGCAACAGTATATACAAGCAAGTTGGAGCATAGATTCATAGGAATACACAAGTCCAGGATGATGATTCAAACAATCGGCATCAGACAATATTGCAAATACATACCTCAAATAAAAAGAAGCAAGAAGATGAAACATTACAGTAAAAAAGACAGGCAACAAGATATGCTAACATTCAAAGAATTTATTAAAGATAAAAAAAGGCTTGAGATCACAAGCATTATGGTGTCATAAGATCATTTTGAGAGTTTTTGAGATTTTTTAAATTGCAGAGAACATATGTACAAAAGATATTTGTACTTGTTGACTAGAAGTTTCAAATGGATGATGAAGAAATAACCATGCACTATTGAAAGATATTTGTGCTTTCACAAGCCGATAGAGAAACTTACCAAACACACCATCCAGAGAAAAGACACTGCTTCTAACATCTACGTTTCCCTTTTGCCATTGTATCTAGGCGGCAAAGTGTAAGCTCTTGTAGGGCCTGATGTCTGCATCAAGCTGTAGCCCGACCTCCATGAATTATCACCAAGTCTTTTAGAAGATCATGATTCCTTAAAATTTTTTCAGTGTCTGTAATGGCATGGTCTTTACATGAGGAGCTCAAAAGCTTGTTAATAATAAAGATCTAGTGTGTAAAAAAATACCTGCAATTCTAAGAACAATTATTGCTAAACCTACGATCTGGCAAAAGCAATATCATGGCAAACAATAAGAAAGGTATTGGTATGAAACTTGCACGAGAAATATTTGGTCTAATAATCAATTATCTAGCTCACAATTGTAACTAATTATTTTTACTGGTGCTCCAATCGAAACCACTCAACCACAACAGAAAGAGAAAATAAAACAAGAAATTACATGACAAAGAAGAAGGAAACAAGTTCTTTGTACCCAAGAATACAGCCTTTGAAGAACATATTCCAGCAAGCTTCTAAACATACCTATAATACCTATAACAAACATGATGGTTTATCAATATTATTCAGATTTAGTTTGAATATAACCACAACACTATAACATAACATGAGAATTGGACATACACCCTGCCCTGGACTTCATTTGCAAAACTATGGAGTGCTTGAGCACCTATACGATCTCTGTTCACACCTGTTATTGTTTTAACAACTACTAATTCAAACATCTCATTATTAATATTTTAGGTTTGTTTTTGAGGATGTATAGATGTTTCTCCACAAACCAATTATTTACCAGACCATCTCCAGTGACGTAGAAAAGTCTTTGACCCTTCAGGGGATAAAATATTTCAACAAGCTATAAAATACCTTATGGGTATAACACGGTAAAAATATAATAAATGTCATATTCTTCCTAGCCTGACCAAAAGGAGGAAATGAAAAGATAATTCTGTATATCAATAGATGAAATAAGGGTGTGGACAACAAGACAGGGATTCTCTATAATGACATTGTAGACCAATTGAAAGGGATGTAGCAAAGCTTGGTAGTGCATTTGTCTTGGGTTAAGGCATAAAAGTCTTGCTTACCACCTAATTTCTTAAGAGCACCAAAATTCTCAATATGGTGTGTATTTCCATGAAATCTAATAATTACAAAAATATTTAATGATCACAAGAATTCACTCTCCTTTAAATCAACCCAACACTTAATGGATTGAACACATTGTCATATTGTAAGTAATACTAATAACTCATATCAGCCTTATTCTTAATGACAAAACTTTGTCATGCATGAGTAATAGTGGAATGACTGCAGCAAAGCTAATGAACCAGCACATTCAGATGATCATTGAAATTAAATCTGTAATTGGATGATCATAAAATCATACCTGATTCAGGCAAAACTAACATCTCTGAAATGCCTGCTACTTTATTGTTGTATCCAGAAGACAGTAAACCAATTTCGCAAAGATATAGTCACCTTGATTTTTCACCAACAAGATCACAACTAAAATGTTACCCACCTAGGAAATTGACGGCTCCAACAATTAATGTGTATATTTATAGGCTTTAGAGAATTAAATTTGCCAGAAGGGTTGAAAGAGTCCTTTTTCTAGCCCATTTTCCCCAATTGACATATGGCAAGACGAAAATTTTCAAGAACATTATATTCAAGAGTCAAAGCAGCACATTACCTGTTGCATGCAGAAACAACTTCTGATATCAATGTTTATTTGAAAAAGCAAAAAGACAGTTAACTTCTGCACACACTTTCCCATTTAATTTATCTGCATACAGGGAGAAAAATTAAATTTTAAAAATGAAAAAGACTTGGTAACACACTCTTCAAAGCTTGCCATCAACTAGCACATTTTGGTAGGACACCCTTCAGAGCTAAAACATTCAAGTCATATTTTGCACTAAATGTGTCACTTAATTTAGTAAAACAGTGACAGCTACAACTACACTTAAACCCTTCCTAGCCCAGCAAGTCTTCATAATGCATGCAACCACTCATTCATCACATTTGGTCATTTGACAATGTATAAATGGATTTAGTCGATAATGCAGCATTAAGCAATAAATAGCTCTTATTGAGACCGTGTTATCAAACTTGGCCCAGCATTGCCATTCAAACTAAGTTATTGTAAAAATCATTGGCAGCACATAAGCAAACCATGCATAGCACATAATAATTCCAAAAATTCAGGGGCTTACTGGCCTACTACCTTTCACTTTTAATGATTTTCTAAGGCATCCCACCCAACTGAACTTAACAAGTCCAAATATTCAATGATACTGATTTTTCAAGACTGTGAACATTAAATTTTAAGAACCATGTGGTGTATGGTAAATAAACAAATATGGAAAGATTTAAAGGCCTCAGTAATCTCTCAAACAAGTCATAAATATGTACTAAAAAATTATTACAAAACTTTTATCATGAAAAGTAGATGTAAATGCTTGAAAACAATTTGACCTTACTACTATGAGCTTTGAATGCCATAACAACATTGTCTCCATTCAGCTTTTTTGTATTGAAATCATCAAAATGAGAAACAGATCTATAGAAGCTTGAGCAAGCATGATTGCAGAGATTAAACATACACATGAAAACAACAAACTGAAAAAACATGTGCACACATGATGAAGGTATAAATAGCTTTGCATGAGTATGAGGAAACAAGTAACCTACTCTAAAAGTTTTAGTCTCTAATTAAAGGCTCTATATCTTCCCAGTTTTAATTCTCAACACAGCAATTCAACAGAGCATCCACACTTAGGCTTCCTACAAGAGCGCTTAAATATATGAATTACATAAACATTTATATGATGCACATAAGACAAATATAAAGGGAAAGGTTATGCAAGAAGGCCTATCAAGAGTTTCTTGCATTAGTCCTTTTATTCTCCCCTTTTCCCCTTGTTTCCTCCTAGTAATAACACAAACATACAAAAGATCCAAACAACATAATTTCCTTTGTTTTCACTGTAGCCTCTATCAACAATTATTATCTCTTCCATGATGAACTTTTGTCATGCTTATCCTCTGGGCATTGACTAGAGTCAAATTCAGTCTTGTGGAACTCTTGAAATATCAAATATACCACTTTGAGTAACAAAAGGATTAACTTTGCTTTGCCACCCAAACTGCCAGATTTTGCCTCCCTTATGCATGCAGCAAAAGCCAATTGAAGACTCATAAACCATCAAAGTTCCAAGTTATTACGTTTTGCAAAAATGAACATTCAAGAATTTGGAAGATGGGCCTTCAAAGCAATTTATTATAATTTACCAAAAACAGTTCTCTTTTGACAAGGATAAGAATGCATTCACAGCGGAACATCTTCATTGGTGTAGCTACATAATTCCTACAATGCAATGCACTTAACTTTGCTTCCACATTCTAAAAGAATGTTTAACATAATGCTTGCTCCCTCTTTTTCTAAACTTCTATAACTTGTTACTTGATCATCTGTTGAAAACACTTGTTTATACTTATGCAGAAACAATAAGATTCATTATACCTCTTATACTTAAATCCTTTTTGCTTGTTGACTCATCCAACGATACAACAGTCTTTTAAGCACATTTCTTGCCTTGAAATGATCATGATATTAAAAAAAAATCCCTAACTCTCCACTAAAAAATGTTTTTTACTTGCTAACTAAACCAATAGTCTATTTTATCATAGCATGTTTAGCCTAATTCAAACTCCAGTTAACACCTTGCTGTTAAATAGTTGATCTCACCCTTAGTATGAACCTATATCAAACGAAAATAAACTTCGATTCACTTGAGTCATGCATGGGAACTTATTTACAAGTAATAAAAACTAATAAATCTATTCACAAATTCATTGGAATTTTTTTCATCAAAAACCAAATTTGCCAATAGCTAACAAAAATCAAAAGCTGCATGTAGCCACCTAGTATGGTATAAATCCTATCTCTGTTGTGAACTGCAGTTAACACCTTGCTGTTAAATAGTTGATCTCACCCTTTGTATGAACCTACATCAAACAAAAATTAACTTCGATTCACTTGAGTCATGCATGGGAACTTATTTACAAGTAATAAAAACTAATAAATCTATTCACAAATTCATAGGAAATTTTTTTCATCTAAAACCAAATTTGCCAATAGCTAACAAAAATCAAAGGCTACATGTAGCCACCTAGTATGGTATAAATCCTCTCTCTGTTGTGAACTCCAGCAAAACCCTTCAGAAACAGATAATCATCATACAAACCAACAATAATGGAAAGTTGTTACAATGCATTGCGTGTATATAAATCCTTACCATTCAAAAGGAGAGAGAAATCTGATATGTAAATTTCATAGCAACCATCCAACAATATTGCAAAACTTAATGACAAACACACATTTATTACAAACTCAAATAAGTAAAAGTATAATGAATAATTCATCATGAATAGCAATCCGTTAATCAAACAATTATTTAACAAACATTTTACAAGAACATATAAAATATCATAAAAGCAAAAGGAATCTTAGATTTTACACTCATGAATATTACTTCTTTTTCAAATTTTCTCCATTTTTCACAGCAATCAAAGAGATTGCAACACATTTTAGAACATGATAAAAGCAAAAGGAATCTTAGATATTTGTACTCTTCAATCCGCTTTCTTTCAAAAATTCCCTCCATTTTCTCAGCAATCAAACAACGATTTTATCATTCTATACAGTTTCAAAAATCATAGAAGCGAAACGAACCATAGATTTTCTACCCAGGAACACTACCTCCTTTCAAATCCCCCCCCCCCCCCCCATTTTATCATTCCATACAGTTTTCAAAATCATAGAAGCAAAACGAACCATAGATTTTGTACTCAGGAATATAACTTTCTGTCAAATTCCCTCCATTTTCTCAACAACCAAACAAGGATTGAATAAATTATTGAAAAAAAAAAACCAATCTTCGATAGAAACAACCTCGAATATTTACCAAAAAAATAAAATCAAAAATTAAAATTAAAGAATACCTTTATTTGTACGATCATAAAAGCGATTACAAGGATGAGTAAGAAAATTAGAGAGAATTGAGGGAGGGATATATTCGGGATCTTAAGAAAAATGCAGAGAGTTTTGAAAGCATATTATGGCTTCTTTAGGTTTTGACTCTTTAAACTGATTTCTTTTCTCTAATTTTTTCGCATCGTTTTATTTTGCCGCCATTTGTTCTTCCCTCCTGAGCTTTTTTCGTTTTTGTAAACTAGATTTGCTGTAGCAAGGGTAACGCTACTTGGGTTTCGTACGACTACCTTACATAATGAATACGTGTACATCAACATTTAAATTCATGACGTCGTTCAAAAGAGAATGAAAAATTGGAATACCAAAAGAATTTGGAAAACCAATAATCTACTTTTATGATATTATTAATTTTTAAATTTCAGTGATAAGAGTCTATCCATAACATTCTCAGTTATCAAAAAAATTCAATATTTAAATATATCAACAATTTATTGAAAAAAAGTATCTATTAACAAATTTTAAAATATTTGTGTTCATTTTTTTAAATATTTATTTTTATAAATAAAAATAAAAAAAGCTAATTAATTTTATACCTTTTTAAAAATTTCATTAATGATTAATATTTTAATAAACCAAATGTTAGATTTAACAACATAATTATACCCTTCATACATGTAAAATTTTAATTAACTTGTTTTATTTTAATGATTGGATTTTTTATTAAATAAATAATTAAATATTTTTAATTAACTTAAAATTTAACAAATATAATCTACATGAATAAAGTATAAAATACAAAAGTCGAATTAAATAAATATAAATCATATAAAATTATAAAATTATTTATAAGTGATCCTGTTCAAATAACAATAAAAACAATAAAGATTTTTTTGGTAGGATTATTTTTTTCTCATAGGAATGAATAATTTTGAACCTAAAAAATTAATAAAATTTTTATTAAGTCTTAAAGCTAGAAGAGAAATCAAATTATTGTAGTATCATACCACATTTTATCTTATTTAAAAACTAACTTTTTTGAGTTGTGCCATGCGTAGAATTTTTTATTATAGTTTATAATTTAATTTAATTTTTTAATTAAATTTAATTTTTATATTACTTTAACAAAAGAATATGTCAACTTTTATTAATTTACTATATATAATTATACATTCATAAAGGCTAAATTACAATATTCACATATTGTAATACTCGTTCAAAGTTTAAGTTTTCGTAAATTTTGCTACTGATTCTTTTTTTCTGTTTTGGATAAAAAGCAAATATTTAAATAATCAAGATTAATAATTATTTTTATGATAAAATTGATATGGATATATAAAAACTATATCATTTGAGTAAACATTGAAAGACATTTATATTAGGAGAATATTCTTAGCTCATGTTTATACACAAAATTATGATAGGATAAAATAAGATGATATTATAAAATTAAATTAAATAATATTATTTTATCTTATATTTGATGTAAGCAATAATTAAGATAAGATAATTTATTTATTGATCAAAATTATATTTTCTCAATATTTATACAATTTTAAATTATTAATATAATTTTTAATGGTATAATAGGATATGTAAATTCAATCACATGAATTAATAATAATCTTCTTCACTTTAGGAGAATTGAATAATCCTATACCAAGAGAATAATTGATCCTCTTTGTAATCCTATTTGTTTTTAAATACAAATCAAACATAATATAGGATGATTATCATCATATCCTATTTATCATCATATGCACCAAACATGATCTTAAACTATTAAATCTTATATGGTTAAACCAAAAATAAAACATTAAATAATAATAATAATAATAATAATAATAATAATAATAATATTTTCTTTTATATATATTTAATTGAACAACAAAACATAATTATTAATTTAATCATAATCATTTACTTTTTAATTTTTATTTTTGACATACTTTAACATATAAATTTGCTTTTTATAAATTCAGTGATTATAACTTAATTATAATATAATAATTTATTATTTAATTAATTATATGGATTTAATATTTTATCATAAGTTTAATTTCAAAACATAAACCAAATATACATATATATATATATATATAAACCACATATATGAATTGAAAATTTATATACAGTTGAGATATTTTGAACTTATACATAACAAATATCTAGTTTATCTAAATATATATATAAAGATATAAAACAAAATCATTTAAAAAAAATATCTAAATGTATGTATATCATACAATACATATATAATACCCTAACACAAATGATAATTGGGCTAGACTATTACTAAAGCCTATTAAGTTAATTAAGAGGTTAATTACTAAAGAAAAAGTAACTAAATGTTTTACCAGAAAAAAATCTAGTATTGTGAAATATAAAAGAAAATACAAATTCTTCTTCCCCATTTTTTTAGGGTTAGAAAGCATAAAAAATCAAGTACAAGATCCAAAATCGAAGACTACAATTGAGTTAATCTCAAATATGAGTATATGGCATCTTTTTGTTTAAGAGATATACCATGTTGGTTGCTATTATTTGGAGTTAAAGTTTTAAGAGAAAAATCAAGAAATCTTTCATTAATCTTCATGTTCTATTTAGGTAAATTATTGGGCTTTTTTTATTTCATGTTCTTAAGATTTATTGATGATTATTGAATGAAGTTTAATGGCTAAAAATGGGGATTTGAGTTTTTAAATATTGAATAGGAAATTATGTTTTTAGATAAGATGTTATGATCTGCAACAGTGAATTAAAATAAAATTTTGTATTAATGGATAGATTATTACTATAAGTATTATATATCGTTGGAAAGCATGTTGAATCTACTTTTTAATGAAAGAAATAGAAGTTGAATCCGAGTTTTTTATGAAGAGTTGTCTAATTTTTACTTAAGAATATGCAAACTGTATGGTATCATCATAAGGGTTAAATTACGAAAATTGTCTTAAATTTTATACAAGGAATTAAGAATTGAGCCATATATGTTTGAAAAGGTATTAAGTCTACTTTCTAACGAAATAAGCAGAATTGAATTTGGACTCTCCAATGAATAAATATGTAATTTTCATTAGAAGGTATATATGCTATATGGCAGTAGCATATGATGCAGATTTCAAAATTTGTTATAATTAATCTATAAGGAATTACAAGGTGTGTCATAAATGGTTAGAAAAGCTTGTCAAGTCTAGTTTCAAATGCATTAAAGAGATCTTAATTGTGATTTGTATATTTTGAGATATAGTCGTTTTAATGAAAAGAGGTCATGCTGTCAATATTAGTTAGTTGAGTTAATTCTTGAATAACTTAATTGTTTTTTATATCATTGGTCTCGAAAGGGGTTGATTAATTTATATTATGTTGAATTATCTTGAATAGGCCATTAATTATTTTGGAAAAAAAACTAAGTGATGGAATCAAAAGAAAATAAGTAGATTTCATACACTTTACTTGTTTTCGAACCTATGTATATATGTATGTTTCTAAATAAGTAAATGTTTTATTTCTTTTATTTTTGATATATGAAAATAAGATCAAACGTATGATTATTTTATGTTTTTTCTATGTAAATGATGGATCATGCTTATGAATGAAATGAGAAAATGATTTATGCTTAAGGAACAATTTTATGATAGCTATGTTTTTATATTTCTGGGAAGTGAGATATCGACACTAGAACTAGTTCTACGGCCATGGCTAATAGGTTATAGTAGTTAGCATGGCCATGACCATATGGCCTTGCTAATGGGTTATAGTAGTTAGCGTAAGACCCTAACTAGTGGGTTATAATAGTTAGTAATGATCATAAGGATGAAATTATCGATATGATCAATATCACGGGTTATAACAGTGATCGTAGCTAACGATAAACTAATGATAATGATAATTTCTAATAACGATGGTGATTTTTTTTTTAAGATTAATCCATGATTTGTATATAAAAATGATTTACAATGATTTCTAAAGATTGATTAATGATTTGTTTGATTACGATATTTGAATGGCATCATATATTGCAATGATTTATAAATTGATATATTTTGTTATTGATTTATGATTTAGGAAATTTTTAACAAAACGATGATCTTTGAAATGTTTTGACATTATGATTTGACAAATGTCTTGAATGATCTATATGTATGTATGAAAACAATACTTGATCCGATAAGGTGCGTGAGCTTATACTTGTTGAGCTGTGATTTGTTCATTCTCCTTTTACTTTTTTTTTTTACAGATAAATGATAAGTTTGCTTAGTTTTGTGAAAAGCTAGAAGATCAGTCTGGAAAAATTACTTAAACATTAGAGATAATGTTAGCCAATAAGATCTTATGAAATAATTTTGTATTTTTATATAGTTTGTATTTAGATATATAAAGATATATCATTAATTAGATTAAATATATGAATTTTACTTGGCGGACTATATAAGTTTATTAAAAAATTTTAGAATGATTAAGAAAAAAGGTTTCATATTACTTTAGGATTTTACTTCAAAGTAATATAATTGTATTGCGTCTTGGTGGTTGACATTACTGATGGCTTCATGAGAGTTTCATTTGCTAAAACAAATACTCTTTCTTAAAATGCAATGCTTGTATGATGTATGCAACAAAATTAAATACTAGAAAAATAAAATGAATCAATAGTCCAAAATAAATAAATAACAAAAATAACATAACAACCATATAATACAACATAATATATAAAATATCATGACTTTTGGTGATTTTCTGAAAAGGCAACATGGCTTAACCCTAGGCAAGCTTCCTATGGCTTATGATACGTTAATTTGGGATGTATTCATCTAAAGGTTCCTTAATCAAACTTTACATCATTGTCCATTACAGACTAATAAGGCACACAAATCCTGACCCATTATAGGCTACAAAATGAAATGGTTCAATCTAAGTGGAACTGTTTTGCTACTAAATGCAGAGGTTATCACTTTACGATAGTGTAGTTACATAACTTCCTCATAATAAGGAAAGAGCCCGACTCTAAAACTCATGCATGTAAGTGAATATACAAAAGTGTGCAAAACAATATATCAATCAAAACAAAATAAATAAAATTACAAATAACAAAATCAAAACAAGATAATAATTAACATGCAATTTATTTACTTTTTATAAAAAAAACTAAAATAAAAGGGAATTATATTGTATATCAAATAAAACCATTCAAATCCAAAACTTTCAATAGCGCATGATTAAAATTTTTAGGTTGACTCTCGAAGTCC